TGTGCACCAACTACAACATGAGGTTGCCCAAACTTTCTCTGGAGAGTTGCTAGAGCATCCTTATACAACACTCCACTGTAGCCGTATTCCGCAATTGCACTCTTGGCTTTGTCTTTAACGTGTGTTTTCAGATATTTGAGTTTTTCATCATCAGTTAGCATAGCCGAATCAACTGTTGCTTGGAACTGCCCGAACCATTCATACCAGTTAAGTGGTTCTCCATCAAACACTTCCAAGTTCAACTCCGGTAGACGGTCTTTGCGGCTATGCAGAATGATATCTGCTAACTCTCTCGCCGAGATGGGTTGTTCGCTATTAGGCACGTAAAACGGGCCCGTAGTGGGCGCAGGATATGTAGGTGGATAACCTTGATGCGCTGTTTCAACAACTGGACGAGTTTGCGGCTGGGTGTAATACACAGTCCCAAAACTTGTATAAGGAACTACGGTGTTTGGTGGAACAACAGGAGTTGTCACTGAGAAAACGTTTGAGGGCGGTGCGCAGTATTGAGGAACTGGCATCGTTTGCGCAGTCGCGGCAGGTCTCCACAAACTGCTATACGGGTTATAGTGTTCACTTGAGAAACTTGTTGGGTTGTTTGGAACATTTATAGGTTGATGGGATGGCGCTGCAGGCGCCTGATACCCAGTTGAAACGGGGCCGGAATGTGGCTGACTGACCGGAAGCAAAGAGGGAATAGGAACGGTTGACGGGACAAATGGTTGAATAATCGGAAGCGAAATGGGAATCGGAACAGTTAATGGAGGAACAAAAGGTTGACTCGCCGGAAGCGAAACTGGATTAGTAACGGTCGACACAGAAGGCGGTGCCACATTAATGGTGGGATTACCAAAGGGCATTGAAGCGGGAATGCTACCACTTGCTTGTGGTATCAGATTGTGGTTTTGCGAAACTTCAGCATGAGGTGTTGAAGCTAAGTGTGGAGTAACGAAGTTTGAGCTGGAGGCAACGAACTGTGGTAAACTAGATGGGTTCTCGATTGAGTGCAATGACAGACGCGATTGGACCAAACTTGATCTCTGAGCCTGAATTCGATTCCTATTGTGGCCTCCCGGTTCACTGTATGTGGTTTGACCAGCGTTGACGACGGCACCCCCGCTGACGACGGCACCAACCCCTTGCAAAACATCAGTAGCAATCAAAGTGGAACTCTCGACTACTGGATGACTTTGCTCTGAGCTTGCAACAACTTCGGCCTGCTCTTGCTCAGTGACAACGTTTTCTACCCATTGTTCAGTACGTTGTGGGTCAACGTGTGTTACGCTAGCATTTCCTATCTTCTCACTTGCTGCAGAAAGCTCTTCTTCCAACTCGAATTCCTTTAACTCAATTTCAGCCAGTTTCTTGTACCTCAGCTAGTTCTTCCAACTCTAAATTACCTTGCTGTTCTTTTATTTTATTTTGCTGCGCTTTCAACTTCAATGACACCTTTGCTTGTCTCTCAAGTTCCTCCTGCTGCTTCTTCAAAACCAACAAATCTCGCCTCTTCTCAGTTGATGTTTTTGACTGCGCGACGGTATAGCGACTGGATTTATGCGAACCTGATTTATGATGTCGACTACTGTACCGCGACACCTTAGAGCGCGCATCTGCTTCATGTGAATTTTGTGGTTGTGTTGTTACGATCGCACTTAACGATTCTGAAACATTGTCAAGCTCTGTTTCCTCAGGTTCAACGTTTAAGCCAGTTTTATATGATGCAGCCTTCTGTAAAACTGTATCGTTTCTTGATGTAACCGTATGAAGCCACATATCCTGCGCTGGTATCAATTTATCAGGATCAACACTTTTAGAAGCTAACTTAATCAATTCCTCATTTATCTCAACTGCAGTCTCTATCAGGCTCTTGCAATTCTGAATCTGAGTGTCAATCTTTGATGAGCGACTCTGACTTTCAATGTTCTCAATTATAATTTCATGGCACTTGTACAGTTCATTTTCAAGCTTGGTTCGCTTCGCAAATAACCTTTGAACCCTCTTCTGAAAGTTCTCATCCATGGCTCTAGGGTCTATACTTAACTCAAACTATACTTAACGGTTATCGGGCGTTTGCGGGGCGATTCGGAACGGTTTTCGGTGAGTAAAGTTACCAATGGGGCTGGGGATTAAGTAAGTCGGTTGATATCAAACAACACACACGGAGTAAACCTGAGGATGAATAAAACCAACTTAACTTACTTAATATCACCTCCCTGACCACTTAGGATGATGTTACGGCGTACGAAATTTGTTGAACGATCGTACAACGGTGCGTCACTACTAATCGGCTAGTAGCTCGACGAATTACCAAGAGGTTTGGGAATTAAGCAAGTCGGTTGAAAACCAACAACACACGCGGAGCAAACCTGAGGATGAAAGACAACAACTTAACTTGCTTAATTTTACCGTCCCGGACCACTTAGTCAGTCGTTGCGAAACGAATGTTTTGAAAAGCGAACGGATGCAAACAGGTATCAAGTCGTTGTAAACCTTAAGTTTACCAATGGGGTTGGAGAATCAGGCAAATCGGTTAAGTTCCAACAACACTCGCGGAAAAAACCTGAGGATGAAAAAACTCAACTTAATTTGCCTGATATTTCGCTACCAGACCACTTACCATAAGGTTGGTGTCATGTTACAGCACAGTTTCGCAGAATTATGGGGACGTTTCGACGATTTTTTTTTTGGAAATTTTTTACTTTTTCCCAAAAATTTTTCGGAAAATTTTGGTCAGCAGGTTCGAGTCGTAAACCAATCCAAAAAACTAGTCTAGTACCCCTTGTCTTTGATCCGATTTCTTGGATTTTCAATCCGCTCACAATTACCCAAAAATTTGTGGTATCGGGAAAATTACCACTTGTAGCTTGCTTTGAGTTGGGATACACAATAAGACACCGTATGTAATTTTATTGCACAAAAAAGTTTATAAAAACGAGATGAGTCTTACAGTTTTTGACGATTTTTTGGAGATTGGGCGGTCACCGGTTTTCGGATTATCAAACCATCGGCCAGACGCAGAGAAATTGTTCCATGATTGCTTCTATCACTTCCACAAAACGTCTGTAGCTGGCTTGCGCTTGACAACTCAATCGCCACCTGAATTTCTCGGTAGGCCTCTCTGAATTTCCTTTGTCAGTTCTTGATAAATAAGAAATATGTCGCGTCCGTTTTTCTGCTTTTTTCAGCTCCTCGCTGGGACTGATTGAATCTCGATTTAACAGCCTATATAATCGGCGTTAGCTTAGGCCACTCGGCCCACTGGTACTCTGACGACTTTCGGCCAACTGGTACTCTGACGACTTTCGGCCCACTGGTACTCTGACGACTTTCGGCCAACTGGTACTCTGACGACTTTCGGCCAACTGGTACTCTGACGACTTTCGGCCAACTGGTACTCTGACGACCTTCGGCCAACTGGTACTCTGACGACTTTCGGCCAACTGACGGAAGGATACACTCGGGTCCGCCAAAAACAGTGGTCCCTTGTTGTGTTGCAATAGTAAACTCGAGTCCCTTGTGGGGCGCCAAAATGTGCGCGTCAATCTCCAAGATTATATAAAAAACGGTTTTTAAACAATTTAATTAATGAGTATTTTCTCTATCATCGGTAACATCGGCCACAAAAACTGCATAAATCAAAGCAAGCTGCAAAAATGGCCAGTATTTGTCCTTGAGACAAATTGCTCTTTTTAAAGGTCAGCCTTAATCAAGGCTGAACCAAATTAGAGCGAAAAGACGGTTAAAATCGGTTTTGGGGGCATCCCATCAGGTTCGGTGCACATTCGAGTTCTAGAAAGGAAATGACCTAGTCGGGATTCGAACCGGCGCCGAACCCGCCGGGACGCACCATGTATACGCTTGGCTACTGTCCCTGTATGTATTTACTTTTATATGCATTTATACTCTCGCACATTTACATTTGCGCTGCAACAAATACTAAGGCACATAAAATCAAAGAATTAAATTTTTGGTAATCATTTTCGACAATTTTTTTCAACTGGTAGTGATTGTTTTGATAATTTTTGATAAGTTATTTCGGCACACTAGCTTTTCTCATTTTGTGTAACCGGGTTGCTATGCTACATGCTTTATATTGTTCTCCAACTGGTATCAAGCTTTGCTTCTCTTGTCTGAAATGCCCATGTGGCCAAGATTTAACGTCTCGGTCTTATCCGCCATAAATAGGCAGTTCAGTTCGTCTTTTCGCAAAACATAACAAAAAAGTTTTTCTGCCAATTTTGTGTATCAAAAGTCTTGACGTATTCTTTTGGGTTGGTTTCCTACAAATGATTAAGTTCTGAAAATGGGTAGGAACTCTGCATTCGGAAGTGTCTAAGTTTTTTGCAGGTATCAGGTATCACAAACAATCATCGAGTGATATATAAAATTAAAACCCTTTCAGTCGTAACTCGAACTACATTAGAAAATTATTTAAAAATTTTTCTCAAAGTTGAGAAAAATCCGGTTGAAATTTTTGATTTTTGGTCTAGTTTTGAGCAAATAAGTTAAGCGGACGGTTTAAAATGGCTTTTTTATGTTTAGTTTAAGCCATGAAAACTTAATTTGATTCGATTAAAGTCTGTTTTTGAAGTTTGATGCGCCATTTTGGGAATCAAAAACTTTTTAAAATTTTTTTTTTAAAGATTGAAAACATTTTTGGACGATTTTTTTGTTCTTTTCAATTTTCTACAAATATTGTTTTCCAGTTTGCCTATTTAGTTATGACTGTCGAATATGCGAATATGCCTAACTCTAGAAAAAACATTTTTTTTGTATTTGTAAGATTATGGTCGGAACATTCGGTGCTACTTGTAACAGTAACCAGATATCCTTGTTTACATAGGCTGTTATTGCTATTTTTTCATTTTACAATGTACAGTATGCAATGCAGGCCAAATGTGTTAAGCGGGTGTAAATTTTATCACTAGCATAATTTTATACCATTACAACTTTGATTAAAATTGGGTTTGAAATGGAGGGGAGTTGAAAAGAGCCTTCACCATGTAGCATGAAGAGAATATTCCGTAAGTGGCGGCCTCGTTTCCGTCTTCGACTCTGATCCACGCGTGTGACAGTAGAGATATGAAGACGAAGACAAAGCACAGACACTGCACCCCACCCAAGCCTAAAATGGGTCGAGGGGGGAGGTTCATTTCGGATTTCGGTAGATACAGATTAAAACGAAATGTTAAAATAACAAGGTATAATAAATTAAAGCTACTAAAGGAGGCAGTTTGTAATAGATGTGTAAATAAATCGAAACAAAACAAGAACACTAAGACTGCTTAAATCTAACCGTTCGATAAAACTGATACAAAACAGCCACAAAAACAGTTGATAGTTGAAAAAGATATTTTTCCCGAGACTTCTAAAACTTCAAGAGCTTTCAGTAAGAAATTTACTAAAATAGTAATGCTTGAAACAATAATTTGCTTGAAATTACTTATTATTGAAAAATATTATTAAAGATCTATTCGCAGTAATTTGGTTTCCTTGTGACAGTAGCCTTCTGTCAGGGGGGGGGGGTCGTTTCTGGTAGCTTAAGTTAATCATAGGTTCCCTTTTTGCGACAGCCACAGTGTGGCTCATCATTTCTGCACTTTTCTAAGGGAACTTGTGCGTCAAAAATTACACACCTATGGGAGTGTGCGCCGAAAAAAAAATGAAACTTTTGGTCCAATTTTTATAAAAATGACCGCAGTATGTCTTTAAAAAAGTCATTTCGAGTGATTTTTTGAGAAGCCCGAAAAATTCAAAACGGCCCACAAACAAAATATAAGGCGGGATTTTTTTTCGATAAACCACCCCCACCCGTCGCAACAAAAAAAATCACGGACTTGAGAAACTGATTCTCTCAAACAGCTCTGTGTTAAATTTTCAGCTTATTTCAATGGAAGGTAAAAACACAGAGCTGAAAGTAATACAACGGGGAACAATGTATATTTTCAAAACACACGTAAGACTGTAGCGTTAGAATATGTTTGCGTTTAAGACCGTACAGCATCCTTTTGGCTTTATATAGTGGTAAAAATTGTAGACGATCTATTGTAAAATACCACAAGAACATTCAAACAATTGCCTGTTGAAGATAACCTTTAAGCAGCAACGCTGATCAGTCTATACTTCTTAATTTCTCAGATTTTCTCAAACTCTCAGATTTCTCATGCACAAAACAAACTTCGTACACAATCTAGCATTTCCCATATTAATTTTTTTGCATGCAAAATTGAATTTATTTTTGTGCATAACATAGTCCTGGATTCACAAAAGATGAATTATTTTTCCGTCATTTTGTATGCCTTCGGTGATGCATGACTAATTAAATTCCAAAATAAAAAATAAATAAAGAAAATTGCCCCAAAAATTGAATCATTTTGTATTGAATCATGTTGCATGCCTTCGGCGATGCATGACCAATTAAATTCCAAAATAAAAAAAAATCTGAAAATGGCCCTAAAATTTGTTACTTCCAAAAACAAAATTGTAGTAAATCTATATTCAGCTCTTTTCCAATTCATTGCAAACGCGAGAACGTTGGAGTTTTGGTGATTCTAATTTTAAGTAATTTTGTCACTTGTGTAAAAATACGAACACAAGCCAACAGTTTCAAGAAAAATTTTTATTTAAAAAAGAAAACATTTTTTGGTTTGTGGAAAAATGCTATTCTTAAAATATCCATATAAGAAAAACCACTAATCATAGACCTTTTTTGCAATTTCCGGTACTTATGGAATTGCATGAAAAAGGTATGATTAGCGTTTTTCCATATATGCAAACTTCATGATTTGCATACCGGAATTGTCAACCCGGTAATTAATCAAAGTAAATTGATAGGATGAAATCGATGACTCAGAGGAGTCTTATATGGGCCATTTTAGCACTGGTCACTACTGCTTCAAGCTGATTTAGCTACTTAAAAACAAGTAAAATTGCAAAGAATCAGCGATGAAAAGATTTGGAAAACGCTGAAAATTGTTGACTCAGCGTTGATACAACGTTGTTATTCCACTAAATTTGAAACAAGACTGCTCGTATTAGGGCAATTCCCTGAAAGTTCCGGCTGTCCAGAAACTGGTCTCGAATGATTTTTGGTTACAGAAATATTGACAAGCTATAAATTTTAAGCGGAGTATTAAGAATTGTGTATGGAATTAGTAAGACTAAATAGCCTGCCTCAATTGAATTTGGAACAATTTTGTGATGCGGGATAAGTTGCACGCGTAAAAAATGCGCCTTAAACTTTCAGCATCAAAATATCACAGCGCTCTTATAGTCACGTTAGTCTATTAGTGAGCGTATCACAGCAAAGTATAAGCCAGGATAGGTGAGTGACGAGCGAGCCATTTCTGGGATTACGAAAATCAATGAATCGAGCACCCGAGGGAAATGTTTCTGAGAATTGGTCTGAATGAAAAAACCACCCCGATATATTCCTTACTTTCTTCGGAAGTCGAAACAATAAGTAAACGATGAAAAAACAATACAATAACACTAGGACAACGCTAGAAAAAGCAGTTCCACTTATAAGTAACGCTTAACATCGCTGAAAGGGCAATCTTTTCCTCGATTAGTGCATTATAATTGTCTTTAACTTAAAGCTTATCAAAAGCAAACTCTTCGAAAAGATTTAAAAAAAACGATATAGCGAAACTGAGCTTGATGATGACTCTGGAGTCGGCACACCTCTTGGTTTTTTTGAGACGAATATATGGTTTTGGATCTGGACCGAAAGGTTCTACTTTCGGATCTCGAGGTTTTTTACTCTGAAATATAAGGTAACCTTTGAAAGAAATCAACGTTTCGATCAAGAAAAAAATGAAAAAGACAGATTGAAAACAAGATGCAGTAAAACAAAAAACAGTGTAACGAGATAACAGTCATGTTTCTACTGATCCAAGTTGCATCATTTTTCGGGGTTTGTTCATCTCGCCGGGTTTTAATTCTACTGTATTTCTGGGCAAAATTCACGGATAATTATTTTAATCCATTGTAAAAAAAGAACCCGCACTGACGAAAAAAAGGTTTAGGATCGATTTTAAATTGATCCAAATTGATTAACAACGTACATTTTACGAACTTAAATGGATTTTATATCAACTTAGATCTATCTTTTTTGAAACTTTTAGATCAATTTAGGTGTCTAAAAAATTATGGGCAAAATAATATGTAAGAAACAAGAAAAGAATCAGAAAAAATTAATTTTTGATCTCAATAAAATGCAATTAAATCATAAAAAATCCTGAGTGTAAATCAGATTTCGAGCAAAAACTTACAAAACAAATAAAGAAAAGGTCAAAATAGATCATAATATGCAAACTCAAAATATGCAATAAAATCATAGAACTTATCGATATTTTGGGCTTTTTATTTGGTCTTTTTTATGCTACAATGCTGAGTCAGTGATGACAATCAAAAAAGATAAAATCGAGCTTTCAAAAATCAAATTTGAAGCAAGTGATATCTTCAAAATTTTTATCAGAAAAACAAAGTTATGAATGTACGCGCATCGGTTTTTCGATTTAGTATGACTGTAAAAAACTCCATTTGCTATGTGAAAAACAATGGATCACTCAATTTACTGGAAACATACTGGCAATTTTACGGACAACATACTGGCCAACATACTGGTTTATCGGACAATATACTGGCCAAAATTAACACCCTGCTAAATATCTATGATGGATTGGCAATACAATGGGCATAATTTGGGCTATAGTTTTTTAACCCTGGTCGTCGGTATACCTACTGTCCTAGGTATACCGCGGTATACCTACTGAAAAGGGAATTGGAATCTGATGCATCATTGGTAGTGATCTCGGGCATACTCCACCAAGAACAACAGTAGAACGGAAAAACTATTCTACGGCTCATAGCTCATGGTAGTAAAGTTCTTAGCACTATTAAAATGAATTGCGGTGCATCAAAGGCAGAAACCAAGATGGATCTAAGGAATATCGGTCATTGGATATTCCGGCTTGATGGTTGCCTCGTGTTCATAGAACACAGGACCCGTGACAAACACCAAAATGCTGACAGCCTCAGTAAGAAACCAGAGTTATACGAGCGACTAGAAGAAAAACAGGCCAACCAGGCAGAATAAAAGGACAGATTAGGACACAAATGACGAGCTGCCACTCACTAGATGGCTTGATAAGTCAGGGCACGCCATACCAGGACACCCTGAACTTCCTATTGAGAAAGTTGCTGATATGAACATACTGGCCAAAGGCGATCCAGTTCCCTTGGACTTTTTGCTGCAATCCAATCTGACACAGCAACAACTCGCCAGCTTGCGCTTCAATAGTAAATCGATGCTGAATAAGACAATGAATGTGAAATCGGATGTCATGTGCAAAGTTCGCGATATGCTAGACAGAGACGTAAAAAGAAGGCAGAACCATGAATGGGCTGAAACAATGGGTAGAATGACTGTCACTGAGAAAACACAGATCCAACAGGTAGTGATGCGGGATAATTGAACGGGATTGCCAGTCAAAAAGACATCAATAAGTAAAATGAGTAGAAAAAAAAGTAGAAAAAAAGAGTAGAAAAAAGGGTTCAATTCTTTGCTGCAAAAGTGAGCCAGAGTGTTCATCCGGAGAAAAAACTTGGCCCGGAGAGTCGTTTCAAGAAGAGAACCCGGAAGTGGAACTGAACGGGGAGTCAGATGCCACCATGCCCTGCATGATGTATTGTCTAGGGAATCGAAGTCTGAAAAATTCAAGGACAAAATGATGTCAGGGAGTTATGAGGAGCGGTTCCGTTAACTTTTACGCTAACTCCCAACCTCATATCTAGGAAAACTGCAATTAAACTGCAGCTCAGATATGTCAGAAATAGACATTCACTCATTGCTGGTAGAGTATAAACTACGCGGATTGGAGAGGGGAGTAGGTCAAGACCCGGATCGAGATAGAAACAACTCCGATGAGGAGGGTATTGAGGTCGATCACGCTGCATATGAGCTAGAGTTGATAGCACTAACCAAATGTCCATTTAGGTTGCTTCCACATGATATGATTTCCGTACTAATCAGGAACCTCCGGAACAGGAAACGACACCTTTGATGATAACATGGTCAGTCAAAACAATGGATTATGCCCATGCTCCAGAAATATTCAGCGGACAACTGAATAGAGAGAAAACTTGTTTGAAAGCGTGATAACCACTATTGGATCTTCTAAGAGCTCAAAGAAATGAAAAAAAAGACAAGCAACTTCACGAGTTGAAACACCTGATAAATTAAATTTGGAAGAGGACAGTCACAAGAACCTGATCAACTTTATGTGAAAAAAAACTGTGATATGTCTGAATGAAGACGGAAATGTAGGTTGCAAGCGGAACGATTAAGACAAAGTCCATTACAAGTTCAATTTGAAAGTGATGCCACAGCTGTAATAGACAGAATTGCAACTGCGCTCACACGACTAATTGGGTCATCAAGGCGTCGATAAAACTTGGCCTGAAAGATGAAGGATCCAAGGAAATTAGGATTTCCTGTCCAGTCGATACCAAATACTAGAAACGATTGATCATTTCATAAAAACGCAGAGGCAGTCCCCTGCATGACAGCATCAGTGGAGGAGTTTTATGATCATTTGATAAATGTTTTGATTGTCAGTCATGACTACCATATCAAGTTTTTGTCAGACAAGCGTAAATCATTTGTTGGTAACCTCCCAAAGGAGTTGATGAAAAGATCTCAAGTAACAAAGGCTCACTCAACCATTTACCACCCGCAGACCTATGGCCTATTTGAAAACCAAAATTAGGCATTGGTCTTAATTTTGAGTTTTTATTGCTCCCCATACATGGACGACTAGCCATGATCGGACTTGCGCCATCGCGATAACCGCAGATTTGAGTTCTAACACTGCGTTAGCGGCCGATTTCAGAAGAGAGCAGAAGAACACCGAGTTTTTATGAAAGCAGAGACTTGATGTAGGAGGGATGATAGCACTGCCCCTGTTGCATCACAGATACTGGGAAAACATGTATGTTTTTTGGTAATTAAGGGCACCGATAGACAACATGTGAACCCCGAGAATTCAATGCTGACACCGACTCGACTCAGGGGTTTTTTCCTCAGGGGAC